AACCGGTACACGAGGACAGAACCCAATTTTCGAAATGTTGTTTTGGGAAGGTCGTACGGCAAAGATTCCTGTCTTATACGCTGGTCTCACATACAAACGCGCACACCGTTCGTGGTAGGCCTACACTAAACGATGTCGAGCGTTTTCGCTCAAAGTACGAAAATACTGGCAAAACTGTGACAGCCGATTAACAACAAACTATGAAGCTGAGACGAACACCTCGCTCGAAGGTGGCGCTAACAACAGCGAATTGGATAGGGATACTGACAGAGGCAACATGAATAGTAATGTTAAATATCTAAGCTTAGCTCTTCCGTTAAATACCAATTTCTGTAATTGGTTTCTATCGGGTTCAATACTAGTAAAGTACCGTTTGATATTTCGTACATAATCACTCTTATTATTATTGTGCAGGCGATCGTGAAAGTCGGTTTGCTCCTTGCATGAAGTTAAGAGTGCTTAGTAGAAGACACGATGAATACTCTTGATGACTGTGATCTACTAGAAAAATTTTGCAATATGACCAATATACATGAACATAATGATGTTACAGTGTCATTAAAGGTAAAAAAATTCAGATCTCGTGATCGTACTCGTGTTTTGTGTGAATGCTATGGCTTTGTAGTTTCGAATAAATTTTACGCGTGGTGAATTCCCAAGTAAAGCGCTCGCTACGAAGCCCGAGTGAACGCTCCTTGAGCGTCTAGTTTGATATTTTTTCATATTTTCACCTTCAAATGCTTTCTGGAGAGTAGCCAAAGACTGTTAGAATAAAATGAGGAGAGAAAATGGAAAGATATAGAACAAACACTAGTGGCTTGCAAGAAGAGGCTCGAGGCTCGCAAAAATCGGCTCCGGCTCGCAGGCTCGCACATTAGTTACTCTCCTCTTGATGACTGTGATCTACTAGTAAAATTTGCCAATATGACCAATGTGCATGAACATAATGATGTTACAGTGTCATTAACGGTAAAAAAATTCAGATCTCGTGATGCATATTATAATTGTACTCGTGTTTTGTGTGAATGCTATGGCTTTGTAGTTTCGAATTAATTTTACGCGTGGTGAATTCTGAAGTAAAGCGCTCGCTACGAAGCCCGAGTGAACGCTCCTCGAGCGTCTAGATTGACATTTTTTCAGATTTCCACCTTCAAATGCTTTCTGGAGAGGAGCTAAAGACTGTTAGAATAAAATGAGGAGAGAAAATGGAAAGATATCTATAGATCAAACAGAGGCTCGCAAGAAGAGGCTCGAGGCTCGCAAAAAACGGCTCCGGCTCGCAGGCTCGCACATTAGTTACTCTCGCACGTCACAAGCTAGTCTTTTCTCCTGACTGAGAGAGGAACTGTTAGAGTGAAGAAGCGCTGCCCGTGTTGCCAATCCAGACCTACTGTCGCAGAGTCTTACGCGGGGATCACTAGGGCCATTCATTTGATAATTGGGGTCACCTTAATTAAGAGATGATCAAATTTAACTGATTTCACAAGCTTTACTAAAGTGTAAAACGTGTAAGATAGAATTAATCTGTGAATCAGTAAGTTAATGACATTCCATCCAAGTCAGGTGCATTTAAAGCAAGTCGCATCTAAAAAATAAGCAAACTTTCATGGTATGTCACGTGACTAACTGGTAACTTCCTGGCGCATGCGAGCGAAGGCCGGTCCGCGGAAGTGAAGCGAATATTTCTTTCAAACCACTATTTAATAAGCTTTGTATGTTGGAATTTACTATTCCCCTCAGTCAATATAATTTTCCCGTCGTTACTCAGGTGCATGATTCATGGTTTTTCTATATTCCAACAATAAAGAGAAGAGACAGAGACTGAGGATCATTCGAGTGAAGAATTCAACTATTCTATCGAACATTTATACACTGAGGGCTGATTACGATGCTGACGATTTCTTCTGACTACAAATCTAATTCCCTTGTGTGTTTGAAGTTTCAACTCGTTGGATTTTAGTCTCTCCATGGACCCCATGCTCCCTTTTCCTGGGCGGTTTTCAAGGCTTCGGGATCGTTTTTCTGGTTCAACGGTTTTACTGATGAATTCACATAGTACTGCACTCTCATCTGCATCTCCTTAACAATATCTGGGAATTTTTTGCTGAGGTCATCTCGTTCTTCTGGGTCTTTAGAAATGTTATATAAGGCGATGTCCACTTTGTCAACCGTGGCCTGGAACGAGAGACGGTAAGACATAAGATCAGGAAATAAAGGCAGCTGCAGAGTCGAGTTCCACTGAACGTCGGACGCCTTTTAGATAGTTAAGCTTAACAGTATCGCATAATTCAATACTGCGAGTCTGTGAGTGAAAGCGACCTTTTCTAATTAAATAATTTAAATCTAGAATCAATTCAAAACATTTCCTAAAAACCACGATTTGCCTACTTTTTTCTCAATCAAATATGTGTAACATTTCCCGTCTACAGCAACGAAGGCATCGACGTAATGGAGAATGGATCTGAAATGCAAGTTCGATCTGCGAGGTAATATCTCCGATTAGTTTTGATTCGTTCCCATACTCAAAACAAATAAGGCGCACTTTACCATGTCTGGATTTTCAAACACCGCATTCAAAGGTATTTCTTTTTCCACTATTCCACTAATCTCTGGTGGTTTAAACCACGTGACATTTGGCACATTCATCAGCAGCTTCATATCACCGGTCCTGAGTGCGACCCCCGTATAACCACCTAGGATACCAGGCCCTGGAGGAACTGAACCAGGTTGATCAATGTTCAATAATATCTCAGAGCGTGGAGAAGGCTTCCCCATCGAAATCGTGTCCCATACGTCATGGCCGTCCAGTGGGAGAGGAGTATTGTCTTCTGGTGTCACACCTACAAATGAAGGTCATTCTTAATACCTACGCTAACAACAAATTAATAGAGAAAAGATTTCCGTTCACAAGATTTATACTCGTTCACAGGTGTACACTTTGTCACTTCCACTCAGCATCGTCAGTTTATTGCTTACTTGCTTCAATTCTCCTTTATTTGACCCTTTACGGCATAAAATCAGTTTGAAAGTTCTCTGTACTGTTCAATAAACGTTTCCTGCGGAACTTAATTTACGCTGAGGAGAATTTACTTAAAAAGCAAAAGCTTCTTTAGAAGATGATCATTTTCTTTAATGTTTTTTTTTTAATTCAGCTGTGATACTAAATGGAAAAATTAGATGCTGATCACTCTTGGGGTTTAAGGATAACCAGAAAAGTAGATCTTCCTTGAAAGAAATCAATAAACTCAAGCAAGACTTTGACTGCGCCGCTTAGAAGCTATTTCCTTCGTCTGTAGTATTTCTTACCAGCCAATCCAAGAATTGTTGGGTACCAGTCCGTCACATGCAATAGTTCATTACACGTAACTCCTTTCCTTGCCAGCAGATTTCCGTGGACAAATCCAATTCCTCTTACCCCTCCCTCCCACAGCGTCATTTTTTCTCCTCGAAGGGGCCAATTGTAACCTCCATAATAAGGTAAACCTCCGTTGTCAGTGCTGAATATCAGAAGGGTGTTCTCCCACAATCTAAAACAAGAGAAATTGAATAATTGAGAACGCTTATCAGGGCGTGACAAATATCTCATGAAGGTATTGTGTCGCTTTTTCCCATTTAGAGAGTTCTTTCACGCACCAAGTAATTGAGTTTTTTCATGATCCATTTTCATATTACCAACCCTGCTTCTCTAAAAGCTTCTGTTATGTTTCCCACAGCTTCATCCATGATATCTGCCATAGCAGCGTGAACTCTTCTCATTTTATTCTCTATAAAGTCGTATTTCTCTATGTACTTCTCCGGGGCCTGGATCGGTGCGTGAACATTTTGAAAGGCCATGTACATGAACAACGGTTGCGATGAATTGTGGTCCTGCAAAACCTTTTTCACTTGCTGTGAGAAAAGAAAATATGGCTTACATTTGCAAATCTAACTTCTTACAGTGGTACGCACAATACAGGGAAACGATATGTAAGTTTAGCTGACCGACCCGTTGCTCAACTGGGTTCAACATTAGATATGGTTTGTTAATGGTGAGCGCAGAGCTGGACAGGCGCAGTAAAGCAGGCCATTAAGTTTCTTCCGGCGTCCGTCCTTGCTTTTATTCACGAGCAGCTCTGATAGATCTTATATACCCCTGACTTAGACTGTCTCAAGTCCAGCAAAATTGTGTAATTTTTCATGCTGGGTATAATTTATTTAAAGGAAACCCGTATAGCTAATTTGAACTGAAGGAGCTCTCTCAAGTGCGTTTAAAGTGCGCTAGATTTCCTTTTCTACCTAAGCTATTTAGGTGAACATGTAAACCAATAATATAAAAGAACTCGTTTACCATTGTTAGAGTTTCAAATTTAAAAACTAATGAGGCCGAGCGATTTATTGAAATAAATAAGTGATACTAATGAGACACAACAAGGTTAACAACCCAACCATCCTCCTCTTAAATTGACGTCAGCGTTTGTGGCGTTGGTCCCGTTCAAATCCTTTATTAAATCTAACTTGTCGCGAAAGTCAACAATTCCCTGGTGACTATGGTCAGAGGCAAACTTTCAGGGAATCCTGACGCAATACTGGGAGGTGACTGGAAATGGTTTCAGTTAGCGCCCCGTCTGGTTCCAAGTCTCACAAATAAACCTCAATTACGTGTAAGCTAACTACCTTAACAAGAGAGTATCAACTGTCCACATTTTCTTGTACCTTAACAAATTCGAATGTTGCATATTTTCCATTCAGGTCTAAAACAGGTTCGGTTCCATTGCGAAAATCAACGACATTGAAAACTTTGTGATCATAATGATACTCAGAACCATCCCAGAATCCATAGGCGGAGTCAAAACCTCGTTTGGTTGGAACGTAGGGCCACCTGTAGAAACCTAGATGCCACTTGCCAACCAAATGAGTCGCGTAACCTATAACAGAAGAAAGGAGGAATGGAAAGAAATCTAATTTAAATTTTTATGAACATGAAAATTAAGGGAGGAACTCATCACAACTTATCTGCGATTCTGAAAGCGAATCAATCTTTTCCCAAGATACTCTCTGCCAGTCCAACAATAGAATGCAGTTAAAACCCATAAATTTTCCAATACCTACCAGCCTGTTTCAGTTTCTGTGGTAACAAGTTGAAGTCCAGAGGCAATCCATAGGGATTCTCCGGATGAATTACATCATGTTGCAGACCTAGCAGAAAATAAAGAAAAAATCTTTCGCGATCTTGGGTCCCGATTGCAAAAAAAAAACGCGAATTTTATAGAAGCTTCTTCAATTCGCGATAACTTGTGTAACTTATCGTGTATCTATACGAGGTTTTGCATAGCAGCCATGTTGGATGGCAGGAACAATAGATTGTTTTACCCATTGGAAAAAATTTTCTTTCTTATGCAAAGTATTTTCATTGTTCCTGCCATCCATCATGGCTGCTGTGCAAAACCTCTATTATGGTGTTTGGCATGGACAAGATTTACAGCGTTTAACGCCATTTTAAGTGGCGGGAGTAGTTGCGAGTCCATTGGAATGAACACGAGCAACTACAGCCTGTATTTCAACTTGACCAACTTTGTTATCTTTAGTGAAGTTTCCCAACGAGGAATGTACGGTACATGTAAACAAAGTGATGACATAGCCTTGCGCAAGACAACTTAACTTACTTACCTGTGTGTATTGGATACCTTCCGGTCATCAATGCTGCCCGTGTCGGTGTACATAATGGCTGCACGTAATAACTGTCGAGTATAACTCCACTCTTAGCCAGCTTATCGATGTTGGGAGTTTGTATTTTAGGGTTATGATACCCGACATCGTACCAGCCGAAATCATCGGCAAGCAAAAACAAAATGTTCGGTGGCTTGGATCCTGCACCGTGGTCTGTGTGTAACATACAAGGCACGCACAAAACTACTATCAAGAATTTCACACGTGACTGAGCCATGGCTCAACCGATACTTCGTCCTACAACCAGGCTTTTCAAGCTTTTTGATACGGATTACTCACTTCCGTGCAACCTCGTGCAACCTCGCGACTAGCATGAGACACTTCCGTCCGATGTTACCCACTGCAGAGTACAAAGACTACCTTGCGTGACAGCACATTTTGTCACAAACAACCAGTTTCCGAAATAAACTCCAAGCTGCTATTCTGGAAAGATTTCCGTATAACCCCAGACCAATAAAAGAAAAGCCGTAGTCCCAAAGGAAATCTGTTGTTTTGCCTCGCTTCCTTTATCCAAGAACCGAATTCATAATGAAGTATGGGGTTATACGGAAATCTTACCCTATTCTGTATTTCTTGTATTCCAGATACACAAAAACAATCGATCCTTAAGAAGTAAAGATCGTTCTAAACTACTATTTACAATTACAATTTAGTCAAGTAGAAAACTAGGATTAGGTGGTTTGCACGTTACGTCATTGCAGCCATGTTGGTGGAAGTAAACAATAGATATCTCATAAGCTCCTTTTGTTCATCCACCAGCATTTGTTCCTTTTACCATTGTTACTTGTGTCTCCAGAGACTATCAAGTAAGTTGAAATTGTAAAGTGGCCACCGTAAAGAATTAAAAAGCTGTTGTTTCGAGCGTTAGCCCTTCGTAAGAGCGAATGACGAAGGGCTAACTCTCAAAACGTCATTTTTCTTAACTCTTTACGGTGGCCAATTTACTATTTCAACTTCATTGATACAACCAAATTACCTTATTACCCCCACCGTCGCAGCACCACAGTTTCTTTAGAAACTTACCTCCTTTATTCTCTGGAGACTGGATGCAAACCACCTATATTGAATTTTGTGAAGTCATCAAATATTTCTCAAACTTTGTTATTACCACAGTTGTTTGGTAACAGGAGTTTGTGCTGTATATTTTTAGTCTTAAATTATGCTCATTAATTCAAATCAGCCTAATGCATACCTGCTAACTCTCCCGGTTTTCGCGGGAGTCTCCAAGTTTTCCATCAAATCTCCCAGTCTCTCGGTTAGAGCACCAAACCTCCCGGTAATACCTACCGTGGCTTTTTTTCAATTTTTTTTCAATAACAAAGTTGTTTTCGAGAAGTCAAAAAGGATTTAGTGCTCTTATTTAAGCAGTTCTCGATCGGAAAAAGTAAAACAGAGCAAATCAACCAATCAAGTTGCACAATACAAATTGCGCTGTTTACATTGGTTGAATTGAGAGACGTCGGGAACATTCCGAAGGCCTTCGGATGATTTTCGGAGAGTATTCTGACATCGTCGAAAATGACATTCTCACAATGCAAACATTTCTAGAAGTCTCCAGATTTTTGTACTCTGGGGGTTGGCAGGTATGCTACTAATGTGTTTGGTTGATATCAATTGACTTCCTCAACTACAGGCTGAGTTGTACCTCACTCAAATCTATAAATTTAAACTGAAAAACAGATGTGGATGGATCATCTACATACACCTAATGTGTAATAGTTCTTCTCAATAAGAACTAAGAAACACATTTTGTCAGTTGAGAAAACCTATTTTCTGAAATTTTCTGTCTTGTATGGTGCATTCATGTCAACTCTCGTGGTTTATCTAGGAGTCCTTCAAATACAGGAAAAATTCTTATTCTCTTGCACAGTTTGTTACATCTCCTGCATGACCCTTAATCTGTATATTATTCTCCATAGTGAGGGTATTATACATCAAGTAAATTATGCCTTAAATTCAAAAACCAATTAAGTTTAATTTTCAGGAGTATGTTATATTCTTGTCATATTGCATGGATCCATCGCATTATCTTTCAGTTTATAGGGAAAAACTGGGATGGACTGGCCAATTTGAAAATCAAAGGGCAGGAATGTGATTTTCTGACTTGCACGTATTTACAAATGATAAATGAGGCACATATGTCAACTCTTCTGGATTATGTAGGCATCCCTTCCTTAAAAAGTTATAATATTTTCTGTTCAAGATGTTACATTTTTGTGAATTTGTCCATAAACAAAGAAAGTGTCTTCAAGAATGTAGGGACAAAACTGGAAAAGGTGACTCATTTAAAAATCAAGGATGGCTAGGGATAATGATGTGCTCCAATAAAAAGATGCTTCTGCATTTCAGAGTTTTGCATGGTGATCACCCAAGTAGTTGAGTTATTGGTGAACAATAACTCTATTTTTCATCAACTTACATGGCTTCACTTATGTACATTTTTTGAGTAAAAAAACATAGTCAAGTCCTATATTGTTTTATGTCCATACTTAAATTACTATTAAGTGAAACCACATCCACCAGACACCTCTCACCTGCAGATGTGGACAACAAAACTATGATCAAGTATTTTTGTTACATGAAGCCAGTAATGTATCAGGCAGATTGCTTGATAGGCAATTGAAGTTTTATTTTTTCAGGTAATTATGCAATTTTTTTTTTCATCCACATGAGAAGGTTGCATGCATGACATGCAAAAGGTTGCTGATTACTTACTCTAGCTGCACAATTGGAAAATATACAATTACCACCATGCAATTTACAAAAATTGCTCCAAGTAATCACTAGTGAGCTAGAGAGAGACCTGAGGGCATCTAATGGGCGACACATAAATACTATTGAATCATTCAGTGACAGATGATTGAAGCATGTATGGCGTCCAGTCAAAATTTTCCAACACCTCAACACCCTCATCTTGCATGCACTGCACGGCTTTATCGATAGGTGATGTCATTACAACATCAACACCAGCACATGTGCAATGTGGATTGCATGACGGTTCATAATCCCCACATTCCATGTACTGCTGCATACAGCTAGGACATCTTTGAATACCATTTTTTTTTCTTGCACCACACAAGCCTAAATCCACCACAACCTGAAGGCCTTTGTGGCCGAAAGCCTTCTGAGTTCGGATAGAGCTGACTCGTACGCAACTCGTAGTTGTGCAACCACCCACTACCAAAGTGTTTATTCCCTGTTTAAGCAATTCTTCTTCTAACCATTCTCTGAAACCGCGGGCATCCATCACTGAAGTGCTAGGCTTAATGACATATCGTTGATTTTTGCCAACTACAGAAGTCAAACTGTCATCCAGCTCAAAATCACTACCTGGAAAAGGACAGAGTGTCATCAGCAAGGGAACATTCTTCAAACCGGATCGTAAAAGCTTCGCACAGTTTTCAAAACTTTTCTTAATTGGTTCTACTTCTTCGTCAGGTAAATAAGCTCTCCATGCTCCGTCCACAAAAGCTTTTTGCAAGTCAATGAGCAATAATCCAATTTTTCTTCGCATAGGCGACGGTCGAATCGCCATTTTGATCGATCCACTTCCTCAATTTCACCGTAAACTCCTTCCCAGTCTTCCCTCTGAAATGCTGTCCTGAAAACAAAAACAGTGCCTACCATCTGCCATCATGCGGTCTCATTTAGTAGGATCGACAGTTGCCAAGAATGAAAACAAGTATCATTCAGGACATAAAGATACCTTGTCTCAAGGTGAATTGTGATCTGAATGAGGCAATAGTCCCCCCATATTTCCACCCTCAATAGGACTAACCGTTCTGAAATAAATCAAGAGTTCAAATATAAGAGTATACATTTTTCTCCAAAAAATAGGTAAAAATGATGGAAACATGATTCATCTAAACAAATATCTTCCATAAATGGTTGGCCTACCTTTTTTTTTTGTAAGCATGCATATGTGGATGTTATAAGCCTCTAATGATAATTTCATAATTCCCGTACCAGTCATGATTATTTTAATAAATACATTTCTTTTGGCTGTCAACTTTAAATTGGGAATTTTTATGCAAAAACAATGTTAAAAGGCTGATTGGCAGGAACATAAGAGAAATTGTCCCAGTTGCCATAAGGAGAGATCTACAGAGGGTAATAGGTGGTTTGCAGGTTACATCATTGCTGCCATGTTGGTGGACGTAAACAATAGATATCTCATTAGCTCATTTTGTTTGTCCACCAGCATTTGTTCCTTTCACTATTGTTACCAGTGTCTCTAGAGATTGGTTGCAAACCACCTATTGGTGGTTACGAGAAAGATGTAGGAGTGGTAAATAACACCAAAGAACACAAGGCTGGGTCAAGCTACCACACTCACACACCCTTATGTATGAACGCAATAAACCTTACAAATCTAAAATAGAACAAAGAAAAGGATGAATTTAACTTCCTTTCATAATCATGATGCCAGGCATACCCATTTTCCCAAAGTTTCTAATATCATGCTAGTCCTTGCAGCCCAGGTTTTAGGTGGTACAGGTAGTTCAGAAAGCTCAAAGCCACACTTTCTCTCTTAAGACAGCAAGATCATGAACAACTGATCTTTATTATAGAAGCAAGTTTCAGACATGTAAACATGATAAGTGTCAATTCAAAATGTTTTATTAAAAATAAGCCATACACTGAATCGAAATATGGCATCCAATTTGAATTGCCATTGTTCTGGACTTACTAGCCTCTCACACATGTGATAATCCTTTTGCGTTTCCACATGAAGACGAGGCTAGTAACTCCAGAACAATGGTGAATAGTAGCAAATATTGCTTGCAAAATGTTCATCTCACAAATCTTACAATTTTTCTAATTAGACAATCCAAGTTCTCTACAGAGACAAGAAGCTCCTGGTGATAAATCTGCAAAAACTTACTGCTGTACAATTATGAGAGCTAGAAAGAGGATCAGACAAATTCAGCAGAAAAAAATCTTGTAAACCACATCTTCACGAATTACAAATTCAAACAGTCTGTTTGTTGCTGAGGATGTTGACACTAAAAACAAATAAATTGGCTAAAATTATTAATTAAGGCAAACAAGCATCCTTTCAGCTAAATCATTGTTAAAAAAAACATTAAAGTTGCAATAATACAATATATTATTTTGATAGTGAAATAAGAGATGAAGTTATGAAAACAAAAGTTACATTAGCTCTCAATGTCACAGAACTGGAACAAGAGAATAGATTTAAGCTAAGCAAGGGTGATTGCCGTAATAAATCCCATCAGAAGCAATTAACATTAACTTAAAAGATTATATGCTTCTTAACCAATGAATGGAATGACACATTAAAATCAGTGTCAAAAATGCTGCTCAATATCTCCATTATCAATGGTTTGCCTAATTGAAGCAGATCTAACCAAAAGATGGAATAAACAAATGCATGGGCAAAGAAAACATTCCCCTTTGGAGCAATTTAACCACCATGAGGAATCAATTGTGGAAACAAGTGAAATAGCATACAAAAATGAATTATGAGCTAGTATGAAGATCAAACAAATCTAACAAAACACAAGCCACTAGTTACGCACATAATGTATAACAAGAGATATCACTGAAACATGGGTATGTTATGAAAAATAAGCCTAATGAAATAAAAAATCAAATACATCAACAACCCAACTCACATTTGAACTTGAGTAGAAAATATATTTGAAAATAATAGTTCTCTGAAAGTCAAATAATTTAAATATTGTTAAAGGCAGAGCTTTCCAACTTAACTCTTTAATTTTAGCTCCTACCATTCACAGATGGATATTTTCATAAAATATACAGAAACCACTTCCACAAATAATGAAAGATAATACTTGTATGAATCCATAACAGCAAACATTATGTAATGAGTCTCATAGCAAGATGATTCAGCAATTTTTTTAACTTAATGATGGACAGTATTCTATGAAAAAAATAAAGCATCAAAATCATTCTAAAAAAGGGTGAGATATCCCACACCACAAACCTAAGTAGCCCATGTGATTCTTGTCAACAAAGTACTATTAGGCAACAGAGTCAGTAAAACTACTTCTCCATTTCCTGGACAGGTCTCATACAAGCCAGAGATTCCAATTAAGCCTGTCAGTTAGCTGTCGGTAGCCTGTTGGTAACCTGTCAGTAATCTGTTGGCCGACAGTTGACTGATAGTTGGCCGACAGGTTTTCGGGGAGCTCTTCTTCACAATTACCCTCTTGCAAGTATACGAAACAGAGTTACCTCGCAGTGAAGTGTTCAGAATGAAACTTGTATATTATTGACACTCCGAGTATCCTCTAAGATTAAGTTATAAAATCAAAAATGTCATTCTAAAATGCATTACAGTAGATAGAAACAAGGAGAAATGCCAACTCGTTAAGGTACAGCTAGAGGGTTCCCACTCTCTTGAAACTGTACAATTCAGTAGCTTTACTTAACCTTTTTAAAGACTTCTTTTACATTCAAGGTGAGTAATATGGAGAGGATGGTTTCAAAAAAAGTGTGAAAATTTCACCAACCTTTTAACCCCTTAGGGTGACTAGTATGTACCCCCAGTAATGTCTCCCTACAATATCACCCCTAAATCAAAAATGAGGGTGACGCCAAAACTAAAGCAAATTCTTCCTATCAGTTCCTTAGGAGATGTAAAGAGAACAGCCTTGAAAAATGATGAGCAACTTCCCAAGTCTTTTGTAATGAATAATGTAGAGACCCTTCCTTGTCAATGGTTTAACAGGATCCATAGAACTGCAACCACAACCAGATTGGTCTTCAGTAGGAAGTTGGAAAAATGATTACCCAAAAACGTCTCAATTAATTTTTAGGCAATTCTTGTTCCCCCCTCCACATCCAAATTGGCTGAGAAGTAACAAAATTTTTCACCAGCCATTCACACCAGTGACAAGTGACGATCCCGTTGATCTCAACTCGCCTATCTTCTGTAGTATTTTAAGTGCTGGTCCAACTTTCAAAAATTGCAACAGTGTATCACGATTCAACAACATCAAAGCCCTGCCATCAATCTCCTGCTCTTGAAAGAATCCTGCATACTCAGCACAGTCAGTATTATAAAAGAATTGCACCACATCGGTGGTACTCCAACTAGCTACACTGGAACCTGATTGGCAGCTCCTGCCTGAGCTATTGGCTGGCTTGTTTCTGTCGCTAAAGTAAGCAACTGCAGTGTCTCCAGAAGGGGATGGATTCCAAACAGTTGCACCTTGTGGTACATCACCCCTCCATGAAAAAACTTCACTTCCTTGAGGGTAATTTTCTGTACTACAACAACTTGAAGGAGAAAGTTGCAAATGAGAAAGATCTGAGTTCATTTGTGTAAATCCATTCTCCACTGTGCTTAGTGGTTGAACATTACAAGCGGTTGGTAATTGCTTTTGTATTCCTGATGTTCCTTGATATAAATGAAACGCTGACGTTATTGTGTTTGAACAGCTGTCAGTCCTATCTGATGTTTGTCCAAAAGAAATTCCTGATCGATCATGATTTCCTTTTTGGTGAGCTTGGACTGCTGTATCAGATGTTATCTCTGGACAAACGACTCGAAATTTTTTTGAGTCATCAGGTGATGAACTTTTTCTAAACTGCGGAGCAACTTTCTGTTCGGTACATCCCTTTGTTGGAGACGATTTAGCGGAAGACCCGTTATGTACCACAACATCGCCTTCTTGTAGCTTACCATCCCTCAATCGACAGTCAGACGAACTCATCACATAAGATTTTCTCGGAGTTTCTTGCTCTTTATTCGCATTTCCATTAATTTCGCTTTGGTTAGAAAACACGTCCGTGCGGCGATGTCTCTGTGGTTGGTTCCTTTTAATTCTTTGAGAAACGTAAGCAGGTCTGACAGCTAAGATGCTATCATTAAGTGTGTAACCATCAAATTTTGACAATGCATCACAGGCTTCTTTCCTGCTTGAAAATTTGACAAATGCGTAGATTGGAAAAGAACCTCCAGGATGCGTCTTTGGATCCATAACTTTACAAACAGCAACCTTACCGACAGAAGAGAACGTCTTCTCGAGAAGTTCCTCAGAGATACCCGATGGAAGATTGCTCACATGCACTCCATACAAACCATACATGTCTCTTGGAATCACTGATATATCTTTGTGCTGCAAAGATTTGGACGTTTTGGTCGATGGTTCTTCATACTGTGACAATTCTTCTGAGCTACTCATCCTGAAAGTGCATAGGAAAACAAACTTACAAATTTTCAATGCACCGATGAGAGACGGTCATCCAAACAAACGAGTTTAACCGCATTTAGATGGCATAGCATAAATTCAGTATTCAATTGCCGTTGTTACAACATTTTGATGTTAACTAAGCTCCCGCCACATAATTAGAGAAAGAATTTCAAAGATGACCTACCTGTCCTATTCACGAGAGAATGAACGAAGCTTAACGAATGGGTCGTCTGCAGTTCAAACAGCGTGCAATCAACCACACGTGGAGTATGTTTCCTGGCCTGGTTACCAGATAGTCTGCGTAGCCTAGCTCTTTTAANTTAGTGAATTATTGTTTCGTTTGATAAAGCTCATTTTAGGACAAAAAGAACGAAAGGTAAACCTAGTTCGGTGATTAAAACCACTGCCTGCTACAATATTACTGTATTTTACTGTTGATAAGATTTCAACTTCCCTGCACTCTTACTTAATTTTCTTCGGTTGACGGTATGTTGTTTTAAAAATGAGTTATAGTCAAACCTATTTAATGAAATTCAGAGGGGTGTTTTTATCGTTAATCGCTGATACCACACTGAGTATCTAGAAACACTTGGGGCTTTGTGTGAGAAGGAACCGGTCGAGATGACAATTCCCTTGAATAGAGGTCAGGATTTTAAATGACTTAAAAGTATTTTTAAGACGCTGAAAGATTGAATCGTATTTTTTTTCTTTTCCTCACTATTTTCATCGCTATAGATTGTTTGATTAATTACGGAAATTACCTTGAAACTGGCATAAAACGAATTGCATGCAGAGAAAAGATATGAACCTTGCGAAAGTAGTGCGTGTCGTTCTTCGTGTCGTTCTTCTTGTATAGTCATGTATAGTTTCTATTACAATTTAGTTAGTCATTATAAATTAGTTTTAATATTAAATTTTAGTATCGTAGGCCTTCACAGATGAAGAGCCACACCTTTTTATGTGGATATACTGTGAATAAACCGTTATTATTATTATTATTATTATTATTATTATTATTATTAAAAGATATCTGCTGCTCATTCAAAACTACAGTAAGAGTGCACTGTGACCTCGAAAAACGATCCAGAAAACGGGAAACAGGAATTATACCTCTTCTTGCTTGTTTAAGGTGGATTGAGAGCCATTCCACTTGTCTCGATTTTCCGGGCCAAAAGACGAAGTTGACCTAATTCTTAGCCAAGCAACTAGGTTCTCTCTTCCTGTTAACATACATACCATGAAAATTTGTCCCTCGCCTAGTGCAAAGCTTGGTTTGGGGTAGACGAGAGGCTCTAAGTTCGAGGCGCCGATTTCCTTTTTGATATATCAAACCATGCTCAATAATATATCGCCATAAAAAGCATTGATTGACTTGAAGTAGTCATTCACTTCTTAAATTTATCATCTTGGAAGCAAATATTAAGGAGATAGGCAAAACATGGGTTTGTTTACTTTATTTTTTCTTGTTAAATCTAGATGTCAGTCTTTTTCCAATGGGCGTGAACATTCTGGTCTGACCAGACAACAGGCTTATGTTAAATTTGTCATTACGCATCAGCTACGCTCTATGATATTTCGCCATCTAATGCATTGATGCCGGGCTTTGGACCCGACCATATTTGAGGGGGATAGATCACTGCTTACTTGGCTATCTTCTTGGGAAAGAATACTAAATAACTAACTAGTTGACTTAATCTTTCAGAGCCACTGTTTCCAAAATGTAAGTACCGTATTTGACTGATGTAGGTATACCGACTCGCAGGTGCAATGATTACTCGAAGCGTTTCTTGGGTTCTGAGATACGCAGAAATTGTTTCATTTCCGGGCGTGAGTTTTTTTTTCGGACCGCTGCCGGGAAAAGATGAGAGTGAATAATGTGAACGTGTGCTACCTGGGTCGTAGTCTTACTACCGGCACGAGTAACTTAACAAGGCACAGTAGCCTCTGGGGATGAAACAGTACAGATATAAAGCTGTTGAACTTTGGCTAGTACAAACATTTCAGCGAAAGTCGTGGTTTTCCAGGTTTGACCCCAATAAAACTTCTTTTAAGTAACCAAATATTCAAACACTACACTTATCTCTTTTGCACATCTGCAGTGATGCATGATGGGCTATGCCCTTTGCAGATCTTTCGCTCTTTTTTGTCCTAAAAAAGGCTTCATCCATCCAAGTATCATGAAACATTAAATTATGATACATTGGATCATGATTGGAGTTAGATAATTGTTTGCTCCTGTTTCGTATATGTAACACTCAACCTAAGTTCCTGTAGCCACGTGCTTCACAGTCCAATGTTTTATTTTTGCGTTTTATTTCAGTAGACCTAATTTTAATTAATTAGCGTTATTCCGCACACGTGAAACATGTTTCTGAACTAGTTACATTTCGCTTACATTTGGTTCATGGTTCGGTTGTGAAGTATTTCAACGAAATGGAAATAGAGAAACCCCGTAATACGCTTTGTAAACAATCATTATCAGGAGGTGTTGACTATCCTGCCAAGTTATTATATCTCTATTGAGGGAGCAATGCTACGGTGGCCCATAGGGGACACGACACTTTTTTTATCGCGCGATAGAATCAAAATATCGCGCGATAAATGGAAATCATCGCGCGATAAATAAACAATTATCGCGCGATAATTGGAGATTATCGCGCGATAAATGGAAATTATCGCGCGATAAATGGAAATTATCGCGCGATAAATGGAGAATTATCTCGCGATAAATGGAGATTATCCCGCGATAAATGATAAATTGTCGCGCGATAAATTCAATTTTATCGCGCGATATTTCGCACTCAGCGTGTGCGTGATATTAGTCACGCAGTCAACACAGAAAGGTAAGATGGTGTTGTTAAGGCATTCTTTGAAAGGACTTTTACTTTTTGGAATAATACATTTATCCAGTGCTGTACTACCGCCTTGCGTTTGCAATGGCTTGCCTAATACTTTCCAGAGGAACGATATCATCAATCACTACTTTTCTCTCGATCTGGCTTACTCGGAGATCCTCGCTTTTCTTTTGTGTTTTCATGAAATTGAAATAAGCTTGCGCCAGCTGAAACGAGTGCTTAGGCGTCAGGGTCTTCGTAGAAGAAAGACCCTAGTGGCATCAAGGAAATTTTAAATGCCATTGAAACTGAACTCGAAGGAAGTGGGAACAGTATTGGTTATCGCAAATGCGATTACGAATTTACTATAGTCTTGTTGTCCAGAAGGAGACCGTAGGAGTTATAATTAAAGAATTGGATCTTGTTGGGGTACAGTCACGATCATCAAAGCGATTACGAAGGAGAGAATACCGTGGTAAAGGACCTAACTACATTTGGCACATAGATGGTTACGACAAGCTCAAACCATTAGGGTTTTGCATACATGGGGCTATCGACGGTTACAGCCGACGTATTCTTTGGTTAGAAGTTGGTGGTACAAACAACAACCCAAAAATCATTGCTAATTATTTTACAGACTATATTTGTCAAATAGGTAGAGTCCCGAGGATAGTGCGTGCAGATGTAGGAACAGAAAATTTATATGTCGCGGGAATACAACGGTTTTCGAGGTCAGGGTGCAAAGATGCATTTTCAGGTGATAAAAGTTTCATGTACGGAAAGTCAGTTAGCAATCAGAGGATAGAGGCTTGGTGGTCTTTTCTGAAGAAAAGTAATGCAAGCTGGTGGATCGACTTTTTTAAAGACATGAGAGAGATGAGGGTATCTTTTGCCATCATGACCCAGTTCACTTAGAATGCTTAAGATTCTGTTTAATGCCTTTGATTCAAGGAGAACTCAACAAAGTTACCATACACTGGAATCTTTACAGGATAAGACCTTCGCATAATGTAGAATCCCCTTCTGGCCGACCAGATGTACTGTATTATGTTCCTGCATGGACAAATGCAACGGATTACCGGACATAAGTTGGTTGACCTAGATGACATTGATGTGATTGATGGTGTATGCTGCGACAGAACAAGCCCCACATATTGTTTGGAGGAATGCAGAGAATTGATTGACATAATTATGTAAGAACGACAATTGCAAGTACCTTCAACTGCTCTAGAAGCCCGTAACCTTTTCGTGGATCTAGTTTATCACATCGACAACAGTTAGTTTAGTTTTTGTATGATTTGTTTTTTTGAAGGGGAATAAATTACACTCGAAAACCTAGCCTCATGTGTCCCCAATGCCACTCTCTCTTCGTGTACGAAGTTTTTCTGGCAAAAGAGGACCGACAGTTCTGGTGACAAATGTGTCAAAGTTATTATGTATTCATTTCTGCGCGAAATAGAGGACATTGAAGCCTATGAGCATTGTGTAACTACTCGTGTACTCGTGTACTCGTGTAGTTTCTTTCCAAGCTGTCGACCAAGTGTAAGAGGATAGAGACTTGTGGTGGCTGCTTTGTGGAACAAGTCTCTGTCCTCTTACACTTGGCCCACAGCTTGGAAAGACGCTAACATCAACCTCCTCCCAAAGGTAGACACTCCTGTTTAACATTGGGATTTTCGGGGAATAAATGTGACTGCACTTATAGCACGCTGTTTTGAAGAACTGTATACCATCATTACAGTAAGAAAGTTTTTGAGGAAAATCTGACGGTCACACAATATGCCTATAGGGAGGGCTGCAGCTGTACAGACGCCTTGATTCAAGTACAGCATAATTACTTAAAGGTACTTGATGATAAGGATTGTAATTATGTTAGGCTTTTCGCGATGGACTTTTCGAAAGCCTTTGATAATGTTAAACACTCGTTAGTTTGGGAAAAGCTAACGGCTCTTCATCTCAATCCTTATCTTGTCAACTGGTACTTAAGTTTTCTAATGGATAGGAAACAAATACTATTATTTAAGGGTTTTGTCTACAAATGGCATTATGTGAACGAAAGAACAACCCAGGGTAGTGTCAGTGGGCCTCATCTTTTAATTTGTTTATCAACGATTTAGCCATCAGTGATAGTGACCTTACCAGCATAGTTAAATATGCTGACGACAGTACCTTACTAGTCAAAGAATGTAAAAATGAAATAGATCTTTCCCAAGAGGTTGTCAATCAGTTTTTCAGTTGGACCCAAGATAATGCCATGGCATGTAATTCCAAAAAATGTAATGAACTAATACTTTGTAAGAAGGTTGCTCGCGATATAGACCCTGGTAACAATATAACGCAAGTTTCTTGTCTAAAAGTGTTAGGGGTTACTTTACAGAGTAATCACAGGTTTAATGAGCATATTAAGGGTAAGCTGCAGGAGACCAATAAGTGTCTTTATGTGATAAGGTGTTTGCGCAAAGCGGGATATCAACAACCAAATGTAGATTACGTTTTTAGATCAATTGTTTTACCCAAACTAACGTATGGTTTACCCATATACGCCTCCTCGATACCTGAATTAACAACGGTCCAAAATTTTCTACAGCGCTGCTTTAAACGCAAATATATTTCTTAAAAAATAAATATATATAGTGTATTGGAAGAGGTTGATCGCTCTCTATTCAAGAAGATCTCCAGTCTGCCTGGTCACCCTCTGTACCATTCTGTCCCTAAAACGAAAGAAAGCTCAGCGCCCCTTCGAGTTCCTAGTAGTCAACTCCCTGGGGTTAATACCCAGCGTTTTAATAATAGTTTTTTTTTAATAGGCTCTTTTTCAAATATAGAGTAGCTATCTAATGTAATGTCTTATATTATGTAATGTTGATAGCCTTGTAATTATTTTTATGTAAATTTTCTTGTTTTAGCATGTATTTTCACTTAAAAACAATAAAAACCTATTATTATTATTATTATTATTATTATTAATCAGAGTGCGCACACCGCCTGGAAAACGACATGAAGTTATTCACTGATATTGTTAACACTGCACGATGCTTTCAGCTCTCGAATTTGCATTGAGATAAATCATCCTTTTAAAGTCAAATGTCTTTTTAACGTGTACAAATAATACTTATTTTTCAGCTTTTGACTCCTGAGAACGTACAGAACAATCAATAATTGCTTCGCTTTTGACCGGAAGTTGCTTCCTCTTTGTGCATGGCGCGATTTTAAGCCGCACGTCATTATCACGTGATATTGTCGCCCTGAGGGACCGACTATTTAACTTTTGAGGGGGGGTGATTTCTGGTCATCAAGAAATTTTTCTTCTAGCAATCTGCTGTGCAGGATATTTTTTTCCGTTCTAAATGCCCTTTTTCTTCTGTTACATTTGGGCTGCATGCAATTTTTTTCTTCCGACAAGCGCTTGCAGAAAAAATTTTTCAAAATCACCCACCCCCCCTTCCTCAAGAGTTAAATAGTCGGCCCCTGAGGACTTAATGAGTTTTGGTTCTCCCTGAGGGATTATACAGTTTTCACATTCGTCAAGTGATTCAGTGGAAAACTGCATTTCAATCTTTTCCCCATCGGATGGACAAATAGTTGGCGAAGATCTCGAACACACATCTAATGACCTCAACTCCCTTCCGAAAACAAGTTTGGACTGAACGGTAGAATGCTTTCACTTCGGTGTTCAGTGAACTGTAATGAGGTCATTCTGTGCATAGTCCAGTCTACTAACGATGCTCTGCTTGACATAACATTTTCGATATTGGCGGTCTGTAAAGTGATACAATTATAATATACTGTAGTTCCATGGTTGACAAAGATTTGGTCGTCCCTGACGGCATGTTGCCATCAAAACAATATAGTTACGTCGGATACAGCAACCCCACTCCCCTCAAAAAAAAATTGGCATTTTTTTTAGGGGAGAGGGTGGCTGAAGACGCGCTAAAGAATATTCCGTTGTATTGAAGAAGGTAGCACCAATTGAAGGAATCGTTTGCTTTTTCACTTACGGACTTTATTCCTGTGTCTCAGCTCATAATGAAAGTTCGTAATCCTTTTTTGCTATTGATTATGGCAATAGCACTTCTCAACAACGAATGTACGGCCTCTGGCATTTTAGACCCGAAAGCACGCACAGTTAAAACAGGGCATCCTAGGACAGATGCTCCAATTACTAGGGAATTCACTCCAGACCAAGGTAATATGTCAGTAATGTGTACGTGCATAATGCAGGTATGCCTTACGTCTTACGTCTGTTATTTATAACTTGTTACTTGAAAATGTTTTGTTGCCTTGTAGCTAGGTGGATTGTAGGTGGATTCTGGATTGTAGCTGAAGTAGTAGACATTGTTATGTGATTCTGTTTGATGAACTAATGCACACTATCCGCAAGAATGGCGGCAACCCTGATAAATTAAAGTCCAAAATGTTTATCAGTTACACAATATCTGCTCTGGAAAGACGGGGAAAGAAAACACTTTCAAAGGGAAGCCGTTAGTACTCGGTGTCAATATTGTGTGGCTAATAGGACCAAAACATCAACCGGAATAATTACCGTATGTGTACTCAAATCATGAATCTTGTTATCCAAATTTTTCTCGCATTACAGCCTTTGTTGGTCTCTAAACTCTTCTCGCTTGCAGTCTTTGAGTCGAGACCTTCAGTCCAAAACAAACGACCCAAAAACAGAAAGATAACAAACAAATCTTAGTTTTCGAGACGAAAACTGACAAAAGTGAAACTTTGTTACTCGTTGTAAAGGTTACTGAGTTTGGAGTTCAAATGGTCACGGCTTGTTAATGTGAGATATTGAAAATACCGTGTGCATTCGATTAGGATTCCGAAGATTTCGGATTTCTCAAAATACACAAAATTTATGAAAGGATTTTTCTGGATTTCGAAATCCATTTTGGATTAAATTAAGCATGAAGTTGATTATCCTAGTCGTGACCTGAATACTTAATTTACCTCTGCTTGTTTTTACAAAGTTGGTGAAATGATTTTATAACATCATGCTGTGCACACATCCAGTTCCTTCTTCAAAGAAAACAATCGGCAAACAGCAGATTTTCACAATTTCCAACTGTTTTTCGCTGCCTGTGGCTATTTCCACATCTATCGTCTGTTTCTGTAAACGCATGCAATTTTATGCATACTAGTCCGGTTGTCGCTTGCGCATCGTTTGCGCCTCTCGAGTAGTTTACGCTTATAGCTGGTACAGGAGGATAGCGTAACAATATCTGTGTGCGAAAAAGAAGAGAAAAACGGCGACATACTGTGCTTTTGTATTTTTTGTGTGGAGAAAAGGCCCATATGTAGAAAAAAATTTATATCTTATTTATGGCTGCATTTACTGGAGCAAACTTATAGCGGAGCTCTAGCCGCCCAACGGGCCGCCAGCGGAGTTCTATGACTATAAAAATTAGAAGTTGGGAAAAAATGCATGGGAAAAGATAAGAGAGAATACGAGAACCATACATTTCATTTTTCATGGTCAAAATGGCTCCTGTACGAAACGTACGACAACATCACGCAAACATGGCGGCTACACTCCTGAAATAGGTCGACCTTGACATGCAACCTGGTTAATGTTTTTGATATTAATTGTCCATGTTATGTTAATTGACAGCTGTCAAAACAAGGTCTTCGCTGACTAGTATCACATAACCACATCCCGGGTAAGGTGCAGAGTTTCTCGACGTCTTTTTGAGTTATCGATCGGGCATTAATTCACTCGAGGCGCAAAAGATAACCGCTTCAATGCGTCCTCTTTTCGGTCCGGAGCAACTTTTAGTTTTTGTCCTTATCGTGTTCTTGCTGGAAAAAACACAGGGATGTCATTTTCGTTTTTGCGTCGTGTCACGCCATTAGTCACGAACGTGACTAGTGTAATACTAAGTGTAATACTAGTGTAATACTTATCTGAAACACTACTACGCTTAGCCGAACTAGTGCTCACACTCAATTGTTTTTCATTCGGAAACAACTTCTTCAAACAAACCAATGGTGTAGCCATGGGCACCAAAATGGGACCTAGCTATGCGAATCTTTTTGTAGGTTTTGTCGAACATCAATTTTTCAGCCAATACAACGGGTCCAAACCTGAACTCTACGGTCGCTACATCGACGACTGTATCGGCGCTACCTCCTCTACCAGAGAGGAGCTCACTCAATTCATAACTGCAGTCAATTCTTTTCACCCGGCTCTGAAATATACTTGGGAAATTTCTGACAATTCTTTATCCTTTTTAGACGTCAAAGTTTCAATTGAAGGTAACGGTTTATGCACTAGTGTGTATTACAAACCTACAGACTCGCATAATTACTTGTTATATTCGTCTTCTCATCCATCTCACGTTAAGAATTCCATTCCTTTTTCTCAGTTTCTAAGACTTCGTCGTTTATGTAGTAATGACTCTGATTTTCACCACAAATCAGAGTCAATGTGCCAGTTCTTCGATAAACGTNAAAAGTGCTGCAGTGCTAATCCACGTTCAGCCCGCATTTACCACAGCAATACGACCGGTTTTACCTGGACGATGGAGTTTATCAGAAATGCCTTTCAATCAAGCTTACTGTCCGACTTTGTTGAAAAACTACTCTCTTCAATCTTACTTAATTGCTCAAGAACACAAGAAAATAAATAAGCACTTCCATAAAGTTCTTTATTAGCAAGTACGGTCAAGACCGTCCAAAGACTAGTGACAAAAATCCCACTACTGACTATTGATATGTCTGACACTTACAGCATTGTATATATTCCAGCTTACCTGGAAGTACTAAAAGAAGCCATTGAAGCAAAGATTCTTTCTCAAGATTCACATAAGGCGTCAGAACTGCGGTAAAGTTCCGAAAATATGAGATCGGAGACGGACACCTAAAATCTGAAACGTGTACCACTTATGGGCCTTAAAATCGTGGCGACATGCGAACATACATGCCCTCATACGCCATAAGTACATACAGAAATAAAGTTATGGTTAGCGAGTTTACAAACGTTTCGGTGTGTAAATCTCTTTCCTTTTCTATGCGAATATAGATTTTTTTAACTACCCATGAAAATAATTGGAAAAGAACCTCCAGGATGCGTCTTTGGATCCATAACTTTACAAACAGCAACCTTACCGACAGAAGGGGACGTTGTCTCGAGAAGTTCTTCAGAGATGTCCGATGGAAGATTGCTCCGCACACACGCACTCCATACAAACCATACATGTTTCTTGGAATCACTGATATATCTTTGTGCTGCAAAGATTTGGACGTTTTGGTCGATGGTTCTTCATACTGTGACAATTCTTCTGAGCTACTCATCCTGAAAGTGTATAGGAAAACAGACTTACAAATTTTCAATGCACTGATGAGAGAGCCATCCAAACAAACGAATTTAACCGCATTTAGATGGCATAGCATAAATTCAGTATTCAATTGCCGTTGTTAAAACAGACTGAGCACTTTGATGTTAACTAAGCTCCCGCAATTTAATTAGAGAAAGAACTTCAAAGATCACCTACCTGTCCTATACACGAGAGATTGATCGAAGCTTTACGAATAGGTCGTTTGCAGTTCAAACAGCGTGCAAACAAACATGCATGGAATATGTTTCCAGGCCTGGTTACAAGATAGCCGAACTCATGGACCTTCCCTTGGTATCCCCCGGATATGTGTGTCCCCGGGTGGGGTACACTTCGATATTTTGTAAAGGTTTAACGAGAAAGTCAGCATGAACACGGTACAAAGCGGACGATTTAAAAGGTTTGTGATCACCATCCCGAATCTGTTTGCTGATCCGTTTTGCAGGCATTGTTGTCCAGGCCAGGAAGCTTGTATATCGACGACAAATGGTTTTGTCTTGACTGTTGGGATGCGTTTGTTTAATTATTTAATTACACATTATTTCTTGAGTTGATCCCTCCGGTAACTGCTCTCCTTGGTTCGGACGATCAAAAAGCGGGCGAGTGAAGGGCGCCAATTTTCCCTCAAAATAATTTACGATCGTCTGCACCGAGACCTACACTGACGAGACGGGAGCTTAGCACAAACTTAAAAGTTTATTGAAAATAATCTCTAGGTTTAGTACCCAAATACAGTCTGTAAAACTTAGGCAGTACATTTTATCAGCAAAGAGTGAAATTTACAGGAAAAAAAATAACGTCAAGAACAGTAATAACAACATCGTCTTTTCAAAGTCATACACATACAATGAACACACATACCACCAGAGGTGCGGCTCTGAAGATACACCCTTGTTCGATTTCGTGAAACAGAAATATCGGAGGCTTTCAACAGCCAGCCGTTGGATCTTTAGGAATGGGGAGGAGACGCCCATTCCGATTATCGATTCACGAATTGCTCCTCACATGTTTATTCTTGGGTGCTTGCTACAATCTGCTTATAAAACCGCACACTTGAGCTTTCCATGATAATTTGAATATATCAAAAAAGTTGAAATGGTAAATTGGCCACCATTACGGTTATAAAAGCTGACGTTTCGAGCGTTAGCCCTTCGTCGGAGCGAATAGAGGAATTGTGGGTTGTGTGTGCTTTTAAAGGCAGAAAAAGGAGCGACGTGATTGGTGGGAACATGGCAACGAGAAAAACACGAATAAATTAGTGGAATGAAAAGCGTTCGTTGATACCTGTGGGGTTGAGACTGCCGGTTTGAAAGATGNCAAACGCGACAAAAACATAGGCAATTTTTTGGTCAGAAGTTCTTTTCAGACTAATGACCAACCAGGCACTTTTAAATGCGCTCGTGCACGATGCAAAACGTGTCCTTTCATTCACAACACTGATAAAATATCGGGACCTAAACGATCCATTAAGATCACCGATCACTTCACGTGCACCTCCGCCAATGTAATCTATTGCATAACTTGCACTTATTGCAAAAAGATATACATCGGCGAAACAGGCAGAAGACTAGGTGACCGATTCCGAGAACACCTTCGAGACGTGGAAAGGAATGACAAGGACACATCGAAACCAGTCGCTAGACATTTTAATTTACCTAATCATTCTAAGCAACATATGGCAATCTGCGGTCTTTCCTTGCACTTAGGTGGCACGGAAAGCCGTAAAAATCTTGAACAAAAGCTCATCTTTCAAACCGGCAGTCTAAATCCCACAGGGATCAATGAACGCTTTTCATTCCACTAATTTATTCATGTTTTTCTCGTTGCCATGCACCCACCAATAACGTAGCTCCATTTTCTGCCTTTAAAAGCACACACAACCCACAATTCCTCTATTCGCTCCGACGAAGGGCTAACGCTCGAAACGTCAGCTTTTGTAATCATTACGGTGGCCAATTTACCATTTCAACTTTGTTGATATATCCAAATTATTTCGTTACTCCCACCGACGCAGCCCCAAACAGTTTCTTTCGAAACTATCAGCCTTTATTAGTGTAATACTAAGCATAGCTGTGATTCGAGTGCATTCTTTGAATTCCTGAAATTGTAAGATTCTTTCAGATTTGGTATGCAATTTGATCTGGGTGGTTAACTTAATGTAGATATAATCGGGACTGCTCGAGCTGTGACGTCAGGAAACATGGAAAACTGTGAATCATGTAGAAGAGCAGAGTCGAAGATGAGCGCTGGCGGTTGATTTTTTTAATCTGGGTAACATTTTATGACATTTTATGATTTAAACAAGCAAAATTTAATGTTTTGCAGTCCTTTTCACAGTCACTTGTATTAAAGATTCTTTGTGTGAAACATGCTTTGAAAAGAGTGTTATATTATACCGAGGAGTAACAGTAGTTGAACCCAGGAGTAACAGCAGTTGAACGGGAGTGAAAATGCGCTATACCATAAATGAGATTTTAGCCTTTGCGACGAGACTTTGGCTTCTGTAAAAAGAGTCGGAAAAGCTCTGATTTTAGAAACCCTTTCGGCTGAATTAAAATTGCCAACACAAGAGTTGAGTGTATCTGAAACAAGAAAAAGCAAACTGCATAAACAAAGCAGAAAGCAAATACACTCGGGAAGTTAAAATGGTCAGATACAAAGTATAACTGAAAGAGAAGATTTCTACTGAATTATGTGAGAAAGATTCCAGAATCAGAAATGCCTTTTAATGTTTATGATAATGGAAAGACAGCCGATGACCCCAAGGATAGACTTAGTGGCAGAACTATTGTATGTCATGTTTTGAATGTCATGCTATAATATAACGGAACTTTTATTGAGCAAGTCAAAAATAAATTAAGTTACTTTTATGTTCAAAAGACTTGAGAAAACATATAGTTAATCAAAGACTGGTAAGAATAATAGTGACACGACGCATTTAACCCGAAGGGCTTTTGATCTTATTGAAAAATAAAAGACAATTTTATTTGCAATGTTTAGGATTTGAAACTGTAATCTCTAGATTGGAAGGCAAACGCTATACCAGCGGAGCTACATCCACGTCCCATACGATATGCGTGTGAAATGTACGTTTTAAAGTGGTATGTTTCATGTAGATTTTCAATTTCAGCTTTATCATGATGATCATCGTTATCATCATGGTCATCGTCATCATCATCATCATTATTATTCTGAGTTTTTTCACAAATTATTATGATCCGAAAAAAAATTAATATATTTTCACGTCTTTTGTGGGCTTTTTTAGAGCCAGGAAAAGGTTGAATAAAGACTGCTGCGCGCACAGGAGGTCTCGTCAGCAGAAAATAACTAAAAGCCTCAATATAACATAAAGTAAATATATAAATGAAAAACCTGGCACGATGCTTTGCATATTGGGCTGATCGGTCGCAATAACAGCTTAAGGTAACACAAGTCAAATTGGTGTTTGTATTCCATATAAAATCATGTGCAAACTATCTATACTAACCCCAATGAAGTACATCTTTTATCAGATCTAATTGAATGTACATTCTATTTTTAGTTTTTCTCTAACATCAAGACCGTAAGAAGCGGCGTCAGCATATTGTTTTCGATCTTGATGATACGTAACATCAGATTTATGCGAGAGCACGTTTACATGAAAATCTCAATTTTTATTAAGGATTTGATGAACGTACATTGGTCTAAAAAAGGCCCTTGCGGGTCTTGTTTTGTTGCACTATTATCTTTTTATGAATTTTTTCCAATTAAGAAGTATTTTTAGGAATTTTTTAGATTTTTTCAAGTGAGAGTGTTTCGACAGTCTAGACCTACTTTTAGATGACTCAAAAATATGTCAGCGATGTGTAAAAAATTAATGACCTGGCGTTTATCTTTTTAAGAAACTGACCTGCCTGATGACCCTTACATGAACTACATGCTGTGGCCACACTTTCACTTTAGTGGGACGTTTCGTGCCGATGTTTCAACTGTCAATAATAATCCATCCAATTACGATACTGACAATTTTGTACCAGCTGACCAGTTACCAGGCCCAGGAGGCTTTAACCCAAAAGGCAGTGGAGAATGGAGCGTAAATGGCTCTGTGACGCATGTCTGCTATGCTGATGGACACTGTGTGGGCGATGATGAAGGAGATAAAAGAACTGAACCAATCATGGGAGCGCCCATACTGGGTATGCAGGCAATTTTCTTGTACGAGCAAAGTATAACTCATTATTTATTTTTAACAAAACTGTCATTTACATTACTGTCAGGTACATTGAACGAACGGTACACATAGGATTCAAAATTCCCAATCTTAATTTAGCGTTCATTATTGCCAGATCAGTGTCTCGGCGGCACACATCAATCAATCAATCAATCAAAGTTTATTGTCTAACGTGAGGCATGGTTGCCCAATTGCCCGAGCCAGAGGCTCATGTATTAAAACTATGCAGGCCAAAATATAACAAGGGCATTCTTTCCAAGAAATTTCCATAAACGATTAGATCAGCTTTCAACGCAAGTCTTGCCAGATGAAGCCGGGTGACGAGAGAAAATATCTGAATTCTGACGCGAACGTATGAACCTGAAGAACGTCGCAAAGGTGACCAATTTATATGATTAGAATGATGTTAAAAATTTGTAAAATTGGAGACTATACGTTCATTAATGTTGTGTCTGATAAGGACTAGTATAATTATTGAAAACAGGAAAGGAATGCGGATTCAAATCTCTTCCAAGGCTGTTTTTCCGAATACGGTGGAGAATTGCCATAAATGGCAAATACAAGATCTTTATCCAGTTATGTAGCATTTTGCCTTCCGGAGTTTATTGTCATTGAGTATAATTTGAATTAGATGTAAAAGCCCTACTCTTCGCAGCGCTCTAATACTCAAGTAAAAGTAACATTACGATAATCCAAACCATAAAATATATAAAATTCTCCTGTCGACCCTCTTTTCTTTGCAGATGGTGGAAACAAGACGTTTGCAAAGATGGTTGACTTGGACAGTGAAGCTCAACTCTTCTCTGAGATTTGGGGCTGGAGAATTCGAATTGGAAATATATTTTCTGCAGATTACGAGCCAGTTCCGTTTCAGTACATATGGACGAAAATGATAACCAGCCGAGGGGGAGATTCCACTTTTGGCGCAGCCTATCAATCGGTGTTATCAAACATTAGATGGATAGACAATGCAAATGATTCGCCTTTCATCAATCAGCTTCGAGACGCAATGGAAAAAGAAAACATTGACAATAAAAGACTATCTATACGTCTTAATGTAGACATGTACCATACTGATTCAAAGAAGAGCACTTTTACCATGGGGCGTGTGACAGGTATTTTATTAGAAATGCTACTAGATTTATATTAACGTGATTATAATCATGACTGCAACTGCCTCTGCTCTTCTCACTTTCCACAGCTGCAACCACCACTACCACCGGGGATGATAACTCTAACAAACGCTGTTTGAGCAGTACTATGTGTAAATAAAAATACTCCCGAAAATTTCGAACATCGTCCCGAGTTTTTTGGATACATTCTCGAAAAATCTCAAAGTTCCCGGATTTTTAACTACAGTACTTCATGTTTCCCAAAATTTTCTCAAGAGTCCCTATTCCCGGCAAAATCTTCAGATTCCCGGAAGAATTTTGTTTTTCTCCCACTACCTCTGACCAAACCAATGTCCTTTCCTTGGCCCTGTCAACTAGCCCAACTACCTCTACGACTGCTACTGTCAATGGCAAAGTGACTGCTTGTTCTGTTTACAAAAACGTCCTTCAGAAATGCGATACCTGTGTTCAACCCAGGTCTGATGTTCATTTCGTGATGTTTGGGGAAGCTTTTGATTATGCTATTATAAATTCGTCAGTCTCACGCACGGTTTTTATCTCCTTATATTACCGCACAGGCACAATTGGTTTGCAAGGCTGGAAGTCTCCACCGTTCTTTACTCTCGGCCGCATGATGAAGTCGATGTCAAGTCATTTTCAGGATACACCTTTTTATGTCGATCAAACGAAACGAAAAGTGTTTGTAGACTTTGGAAACAGTTTACCAATAAATGCAAATGGCAGTATGGACATGAGAGTCGTTGGTGAACTTCTTCTTGCCGTGTCTCTAAACACAACTCCTTCGCTGACATGTTCTGATGACCTCCTGTGGCTTGGACTGATCTATAATAACTTCCACAACTGGTATCAGAACTCTGCTGGAGTCCAGGTGTTCCCGTCTATTGGATCATTATCGCCTGATCAGATGGAAACATTGAACCAGCATCCATTGGTTGTTGCTCAGGTACAGTGTGATACTCACAACTGATATAATCGTTGTCTTCAGTATTTGCATGGTCCTCTAGTCAAAGACGTCTTTTTCCTTAGCTTAATTTGTAATAATCTATTACACGTGCATGGCTAATTGACTGTATCATGAATGGTGACAATAACTGTAAAATTACAGACTGGGTAAGGTTTTGCCAAACTGTCTCTGTGATTTTTAACCCGTATCTTTACTTGCAGGTTACTGGCACCTGGCCAGTGTTGAAATGTGAGGAAATTGTCATGGCGGAAGCTCGTGATGGCATTGACATTCATCCATACACCGAATGGACGTTTCGGAAGAATCCGAATGAACGAGCGCATGTTCAGTTAATTGCGACGAAATTTGGAAAGCCTCTTCCTGAAGTAGATGTTAAACTCGACCCTTGTAATTGTGACAACATTTTCTCGGGTGGACCAAAGGTTGGCGAGCCTCCTTTGCCTGATGTGCCATCCCAAACGAAGACGGATGAAAACGGAATCGCAACGTTTGACATAGAAGTGAAAGATCCTAAGAATAACAGGAGCTTTATAGATGGGCAATTATATCCTTTTATCTACTCGGTTGCAAATCAAAGCACGAACTGTGACAACATGTGCACAAACGATACTCTCAAGCTACTCAACTCCCTGATTGTCATTCTAGCTTGGGACAGTTACAGTATTAAAGGCGCAGAGCCAACCTGGTTGGATGATGTTTATCCAATCTTTAAACAATATGCCAACTTGTATCCAGTGATGACTGATAACTTCGTAAATTTAGCAAACTATTACGACGTCCTAAAACACCGGAAGGCCATCAAAATGAGTCTTGAGTTGCCTTTGTCGCATCCAAATCATATGCCTGTTACGCGTGACCTTTCAACATCCAAGCGCAACGCTATTGTGGAATGGCTCTCGAAAGAACCTGTACTTGGCCAGCCAAGGAAATTTTACTCGGTGGAACATCTCCGGGAGGACCTACAAATTGCTCTTCAACTTGAGCATTCGACCATTCCTCCATATCTGACTGCTTTGGCCTCCATCAAGGGCAGCTATAATCTGCAAATTCAAAGTGTCCTGAAGACGGTGATAATCCAAGAGATGATGCATATGGCACTTGTTGCCAACATCCTTAATGCTGTTGGTGGAAAACCATCTTTATATTCAAAGGACTTTATTCCGCATTACCCCTCACGCCTTCCCGGTGGGGTGCAGCCTGATTTGATAGTTCCTATCGAAAAGATGTCCCTTGGTCTAATAAGGAACATCTTTATGAAAATTGAACAGCCGGTTTTAGAGCTAAAACAAGTTTCCAGTTTTAAACACACGTTCTCATTCATAAATCGTCAGAAAAACATGGTCGAGGAGGGCCATTGCAGAAAAAGTGATGAAGGCGAAAGCTGCGCGGAAGAAAAACTACGTACCATGGGCTATGACAGACAAACTGATGAAGATCCATCTTCGTGCTTTTTTGTAGCTGGAAAGGAGTTTGATACAGGTAAGAAAGTTTTGATTGTTTTGAATTCGAGGCTATAAAAACAGTTTAACGATTAAGTCGTAAATTTTCAAAAGACCTTTTTTATGGCTCGCAGTAACAAAATCGTCTACTTCGTGTCAATGTATATTTATTGACTTAAACATGGCTATTAAGTTTCCTGCGTTTTGCAAATCCAAAAAGAGAATAACTTTCAATAGTTAAACGTTGGTTTCGTTCCGAACACGAGTGCAACAGTTGATCCACTATGAATATTTTAATTTTAGAGGAAAAAAATCCAGCAAAGTCATGATCCTTTTTTGTGTAACCCCTAAGGATCTCGTTATCCTTTATCGTTAAACGTTAAATATTACAGGACCGTACTTTTGTGTGTGATTTCTAGATTTTCAGTTCCGTCAATTGGAAAGTGTGAATCATATGATGTTTAAGGACAACACTGAAACACACACAGAGGTACGTGTTATTGGAAGTCGAAGTGCGCCTCACATAGAAAGGTTTACGCTGGTTCTGTGGGTGCCGTCTGTGGCCTCTTCTCTCCGACTCATCCCACTCCTCGTCGCACCTTTCTCGAAGGTTTTCTGGAATTTCTGCGATCTGCAGTAACTTTATCCCAGCCTGTTGAGTTGATGTCGAAACCCTTTAGTTCACGTT